ACTATTAAAAAAGAAATTTTTTCAAGTGTGTTTTAAAATTTTAGGAGGACTTGCTGAATCAGCACTTTATTATTCATGTTGATTGCAGTGCAGCAAAACCGATTTTCAAAAAAGATGTAGAAAATCTTTCTCATAAACAGGTTTTTGCTAATTGGCAAAGTCAATTATCCATGTTTGATTTTGATATTGAATATATAAAAGGGCCCACTAATCGCCTCCTTGATTTTCTAACCAGAGAATTTTTGCAAGGATCACATGAGCCGCCAGGTTTGGGGTCATAATCATGGCCGGGGCAAAGGAACCACTCCCTTTGCTCATGGCAACATTTATTCGGATCTTATTGAATTTCCTTGGATTACTGTTCAGCATAAGAAGAACTCATCAGCACAGGAAGGCCCATTTTCCACTAAATCCGCTAAAGATGTACTCTTAACAGAAGAATTTGAAACTTATCAAACAAGTCCCCATGAGGAAACAATTTTATTTTTTGAAAATATAGATATCAAGTGGGTGACTAACCCTTGGGAAATCAAGGATCGCTATTTGCATTATCAGAATTTTCAACCACATTTTGATCAGTATCGTTATTATGAGCAAATGCTTAAAGATACTGCCTCTGTAGATTTTACTCATACTTATTCCGAAGAAAATAATTCGAAGGCTGCCATTAAATATAGCAAGGCAGTGATTAAAAGAATTATGAAACTAGAGAAATGAGGATTAAATCCTAACCAATTCCGTACTCTTTATTTGCATGACTAGAAATATAATTATTGGGATTATGTACAAGCTTTTTCTATGGCCTTTCATTATATGAACCCTAGCCGTAGTCATTCTTGGTTCATTAAAGTTTGTTCTCAAACATATCAATCTAGTCTTCCAAACTGATTTTTTGTTTGGTGGGAAAAATTTGGCCCAGATCCATCAATTTTACCAGAACAATTCGAATACCTTTCAATGCTTGGGTTCAAGCTTTTCAGGCTATACCTGGTAATCAAAATTTTCTATAACCAAATCCTTTGCTATTTTTATGACTCATTTCAGTATCCCTTGGATTTGGTGATGGGACCTAGCATGTGATTTTCAGAATAAAATTCTCCGCCTTAAGCGAATTTTCTTTTTCAAATGGTGGAAGACTCTTGAATCTTCCCAATTTGAGATTATTGAACAAATCAAGCTTAATACTAAGGCTTGTTATGATTCAATACCAAAGCTTTCTATTCCTGAATCATCGGCTGCTAACCGCTTTATCCGTATCCAATCTGAAATTAAAAAGCAACATTTGGAGATTTCTGATAAAGATCTACTCGTCAAATGTATGGAATACATGAAAGAACAATTTCTACAATCCATGGAAACTGACATTAGAGATGATGTCTCTATAGTGTTATAAGAAACTAACTCCACAAATTCAGTGGGTGTTAAAAATTTACTAGCAACAAAACAAGCAGGATATAACTCAAGTAAAACAACAAATTTCTATGCTAAATAATCACCAGAAAAATAAAACAAAAATTGGCGAAGTTTACGAAGACTCAACTTCTGAAAGTCAATATTTGATACTACTAAACCAAATAACATATCATAAATGGTATATTAAAATTACTCTTGTTATTAATAATAAATTTCTTATGAAAGATGCAATAGCTTTAGTTGATAGTGGGGCTAACATGAATTGCATTCAAGAATGTCTTATTCCCTTTGAATATTTTGAAAAAACCACTCAATCATTAACTAGTGCAAAGGGTACCAGAATGATTATTAAATATGAACATTCCGAAGTTCTAATTTGTAACCAAGGCATTTGTTTGTCAACTTCATTTGTTTTAATCAGAAATATGTCTCAGACATTAATTTTAGGAACACCATTTTTATGTCTTCTTATGCCTTTTGAGAAAATTGATTCTGAAGGCATTCATACAACCATCAGAAATCAACATAGTTTTCGAATTCATAACTAAACCATATACTAAAGAATTGGATCAAATAAAAGATTTAATAATTTACAAAGAAAAACAATTAAATTTTTTACAAAAAAAAATATCTATTCTTAGTATTGAACAAAAACTTTAGCAAACATCTTTACAAAATAAAATAAAGATAATTGCTTCAGAATTTCAAACAGAAATTTGTAGTGATATTCCTAATGTTTTTTGGGATAGGAAAAGACATATTGTCACTCTTCCATATGAACCTGATTTTGCTGAAAAGCAAATTCCTATGGCCAGTGAAATGAATTTTCAAATATAGTTTCTATGGATTTTACACCAGGAAGTGAACTTCGTAAACATATTAATTAGGAATTTCAGCATCCCCAATATCAACAATATAGAGATTGGTATTTTAAAAAATATGATAAAAAGCAATTACAGTTTTACAAAAATCAATTTTATTATCATTTGTCAAGATACCAGAAAATTATTCCTTTTACAGAATGGTTTTATGAATTTGTTGTCACTATTATGGAGATTTTACCCAACACTGAAATTAGTACTTTAGATAATTTCTTTAAAACATGGACTACTATTGAAGATAGAACTTTTAATTCTTTAATTTCTATTTTGAGTAAATTAACTTCTCTACGAAGATCATTAAGAGTAGCAGGTGTTTCTAGTTTAGGAATATTATTTTCAATGCGTTGAACTACTTCTTTAAGACTATAGTAATTAGGCTGCGTGTTTTCTTCAAAAGATTTTTCTTGAGTTTTTTGATAACAGCCTTCAAGCATTTTTGAGTTTTAATTCAGGATCTTTGATTTGATCAATAAGATTTAAGACAGATTTTTGTTCATCAATAAGAACATTAATACTAGGTTCTGTGGAAAGCCCATTCATTTCGACTATAGCTTTCCAATAATTAGATTCATTATTAAGATTGCAATAGCCATTACTGCAACCTTCTTGTATAGTTTCTTCAAAAGAAGTTTCACAATCGGAATATAATTCTGCCAGATCATCACTATTTTGGTCAGAGTTATCTTCAGATTTGGAAGAATTAATCATAAGTTTACAGAGTTGGGTTTTTAGTCCTTCATCAATATTTAATTCTTTTATTTTTTGTTTAGTTCTGCATTTATTAGCATAGTGTCCTATTTTGCCACATTTATAACATTTGTCTTTCTTTTGATAAGGTTTAGAATCATGTCTAGTTTTAGTTTTTTTGATAAGAAGATTTCTTTTTTGGAAAATATTTATTTTTCTTTTTGCAATTAGATTTATAGTCTATTATTTTCTTTATTTTTCTATTTTTCTTCAGATGAGGAATTTTTACATCATAGGAAAATTGATCACGAAATTCGCCTAATTCTTTTTTGCTTGTAAGATTTTCTCTCTTTATTTGATATTGTAATTTTAAATCATTACAAAGAGATAAACCTTTTTCAATAATGATGGCTATCAATTGACCATAAGTATAATTATTATAAAGGATATTCATACCATGATTCTGGTCTCTAAGTTTATTATAGATTTTTTTAGCAAAAAGTGTAGGTAAGCCATCAATAAATTTGGCTTTCTAGTGTTCACTGTTAGTATCAACCCATTGCATGACTTTAATTAAAAAGACATCTTTATGCCAACGAAAATGGATAAAAGAAGGGCAACAAAGATTCTAAAGAAGTGTTCGTCCTTTATCAGAGGTACTAACACCTGGTCTAATAAAATGCATTAAAATGGTTTGGGAAATGGTATAAATTGCATCCTTAATCTGTTGAGGGGTATTAGTCAAAGGCTAGTTTCTTGCTTAACAGATTGGAGAATATCTAGCTATTGAGTAGGGGGTGAGTACATTGTCCTACCATCCTTTGAGAATTCCAATAAAACCAGTGGTAATAAAATGAGCAATTTGGCTATCAATATTATCATTCTGATAACAAACAAAACTATGCATGAACATTTCATGGATAGCTTCTAAAATTTGACATTCGGATTTGGCATTAATGTTCCAAGAATAGATGCTTTTACCATGATAAAATTTTTGTTCATGAAGAAAATCTTCTTCATATAATATGTCATGCGTAGTAGGTCTAGGATAATAATAATGATTGAGAGCAAGTTTATTAGTAAAAAAGGTTCGGTTAATAGAGTCTGAAGAAGGGAAAATTTGTTGAAGTTAGAGAATATGATGTAATTCGGCGTCGGCTGTAGAGTCTAAAACATTAATAGAATAAGATCCTCTAATATTTAAATATTTCATTTTGGTAAGTAAGGAATTAGCAAATTCTTCATTGTTAGAGGTAGATGATAATTTAAAATTAGAGATTGCAACAGGTGGTTTGAGATTATCATGTTGAATAGGGGATGATTGTACTGTTCGCTAAAGGTCACTTTTAGTGAGTATAGTGTCTATAGATTCTTCAATACGAGTTAATTGGGATCCAATAGTTTGAAAATAAAGGTTAGAATAATTTTGTCTAACTACAGCATTAAGGTCACTGACCTTACAATATTGTCCTAATTTAGATTCATGGATTGTTGGACGAATCTAAGCAAAAATAGATAAAGGTTCTGAATAACTAGTGTTATTAGATATTGACTCCACTGATTCAGTGGGTGGATGTAAAAAATTAAAAGCTCTACCTTCGATAATAATCTATGTTTTAAAGAAATTATCTAAAATATTGATTTAATTTATTAAATATTTTATTATTTGAAATTTAATTTCAATATTATAAGAGTTATTTATGAATTTCAATTCATATCCAAAACGCGTTGAGTCGACCCTAATTAGATCTCCCTAAGTTTTTTCTCCATTTTTTCAAAGAGAAGAAAAGGAAACATTCCATGTCAAACAAAATAAAAAGAAATATATAATAGTTTATATCCAGTGCTGGTGAGCGGTGAAATTAATACTAAAATCAACCCACAGATCATTGGACCTCTACGCAAATTCACCGACGTGTCCACCACATATTCCCTGATTGGAACGTCACAAACATCCACGCGAGACACCATATCCTCTCCCTCCTCCCTCATCAACCTCCAACCTGTGTAATACTCATCTACATGTTAATGCCGGTAATCATCTCCCACGGATCCAATCTCACAAACAACACTCAAAACTTTCACCAACAAAAAAAAAAAAAAATTCACACACGCGCTCATATATAATATATATTGAAATCTAAGAGATGTCGAGTGACAGTGACGACCTAGACGAAGACGAGTTGCTTCAGATCGCGCTGAAGGAGCAATCTCAGCGAGATCTCAATTACCACTCCTCGAAGCCGTCGCGGAAGGTGGCCAATTTCGTGCAACCACCGCCGCCGCCGCATCCGGCGAAGCAGAGGGGTTCGGCCCCGCCGGGAAACCCTAGGTTGAAAGCTCCGCCGATGCCGGAGGCTCAGCAGCAGCAGCGGCGGGGGTCGATGGACGACGACGATGATTCGGAGGTGGAGATGCTGAGTATTTCGTCCGGAGATGAGGAAACTTCCAAGGATCGGGGGTTTGAGTCGCGGAATCGGGCTGGAAGTGGTGGGAGGCCTGGGAGGGAGGATGATTGGGATGGTGGGGAACCTGATTCCTGGAAACGAGTCGATGAGGGCGAGGTATGATTAGATTACACACGTTTTTACATGCTTATTGCTTGTTTGAGCTCTAATTCCGATATTTGAGATTTTGGTGAGTGTTTTTGGATGACTAGATTACTCAATTCAACTTGATTAGAGGAATAATTCAGCTCTCAGTTACTTGGGGATAGTGAATTGAATTTTAAAGTTATGTGCATTATGGTAATCGAAGTTAAGTAGTAATAAGTTTTTTACTTGTGCTGTGTTGGTTGGGGGATTTGGCAAGTAATTTGGAAAAAGAAAGGAAAAAAAAGTATATTTTACCTCGTATCACATATCTTTTCCCTTTTTCTTGCCAAATTTCTCAACCAAAAGTATGGCTGTAATGAACTTATCAAAACATGCAAAGACGTTTATATGTGCGAATCTTATTGCCATAATTTACTTGCCAATACACATTTATACCGTACTGGTAAAATTCAATCTTTCTTATTTTATAGCATTTACACAACGAAAGATACATATAACAACCGTGTTAAGCCCATATTTGATGAAATGTATCAAACACATATCCCATACTTTGTCTAGGTGTCAAGTGTTTGACACAGATAATTAATTTATTTTGAAGGGTCAATGTAACATAGGAATAAGTGCATGGTTGAGGAGGTTGAGCGGTTGGGTCTTGCTTTGAAGAGGGTCATGTGGAGAGCCTTACAGTTTTGGATGTTGGGAAATTTCTTGGAGTCTTTACTTTGTTATGTTGATTGTATAGGTGAATTGTCCTTAAAAAATAGATCTTAGTTTTGGTAGCTTTCCTATATTTTGTGGGTACATGGTTTTTGTCCGTTTGATGCCATCGTAATATAATTTTAGATATCATAAGAAAAACTGCAGGAAATTGAATAGAAGTAGAAGACAAAAAAAGTAAAAAGAATTTAGGCAGCACGCCTATCTCAAAGGAATCATACCTAGGGCTAGATTACATTCCACAATTTACGAAGAGCATAGTTACAAGAGATAACTCTTTCCTTAAGTTGCTCATTTTTTAATAGCTTATTGACTGCATCACCATACGACGTCTTCTTAGGCACAATAACATGCACCTTATTGCACTAATTAACTTTATAATATTTTATTGTGATGTACCCTTTTACTTTTAATTTTACTCTTATGTTTTGGATTAAAATGTTACGGACAGCATTTTCATAAGCTTGTATTATTGTGGTAGCTTGCTCGTAGGGTTCGTGAGATGCGGGAGACAAGAGCAGTTCCGGTGGTTCAAAAGTTTGAGCGGAAACCATCAGCAATCGCTAAAAAGGGTCTTAACAATTTACAGTCCTTTCCCCGTGGCATGGAATGTATAGATCCACTAGGACTGGGGTAAACTTCTCTGCTATTCGGAATGCTTGTTTTGCTAGTTACTCGTTGCCATAGTGATCAAAGTAACTTGGGCCAACTGGGATTTTGTGTTGTTCATCATGTTGCTTTTAGTTACTAGTTATTATTATTATTATTTGATTTGTATTATTAAAATTCAGCAGTAATCACAATCAGTGTAAAAATCTGATGGATTGGGGTTTAAATTGGGGGCCACGATGGTCAGTAATGGTTTGCACATTTGATTTGCTATCTTTTTTGAAAAGTTTTAGTTAGTTATCTTTCTTTTGTTGAAATTTCTACTTGCCATTTTTCCATTCATGCAGCTAAAGATTTCAATATCTTTCGTGGTAACAAGTATAAGGTTTTGACTGTGGAAGAATTGTTGTACTATTCTCGGACTGAAGTTAAATTAATAACCACCACTGGGCTTGTTACTTATATTTTGCATCTCTTATTATCATCTGTGCTAAACTAAGTTTACCATGTGGCAGGATAATTGATAACAAGACACTAAGGTTGATTACTGAGAATTTAGAGAGCTCTCCTTCCAAGTCTGAGAAGGATTATCTAGATTCTAGTGTTCGTGGTATTTTTTTCTTCTTTTTTTATTCACTTGTCCAATTCATAATGCGAAACTTCTTTTATTGTCAAAAGCTGCCTTGTCTTCATCCTGATTTCCCCCCCCCCTTTTTTCCCCCCCCCCCCCCCTGTCTATTATGGGTTGTTTTTTTTTACCAGTAGATTTTTTGGGGGGATCTGAAGTCATGGATTTTCTTTTCGTTGTTGGAAGCTTCATTATCTTCATATTTCTTCTACTGTGTAAAAATATCTTTTATAGACTGGGTGATATTTCATTTTCAGTTTTCTACACGTCGAAGATTAGGTTTGTGCTTTTAGGAACTAGGAACATAGATTTGGCATCTCCAGGATTAACCTTATGCTTATGAATACTTTCTCAGTCACCTGAACCTTATATTTTCAGTAATTAAAGTTTATTGCCATGATCTTTACAACCTGAGTGTTAATTGTTGAAAAATCTTATGTGGCATTAAATAGAAAAGCGCAGGGAATTTTAGGCCATGTTTGGTTTGTTTTGGAGAAAAAAAAATTAGATTTTATTTTTTAAAAAATGGAAACTAATTTGATAAAAATAAATATCAAAAAAAATATTTTTAGTTTAAAAAAAATATATTTTTGGCCTCCCAAAGATAAAATTATATAAAAATGATAAGTGTTTTTGATTTTTTTTATTTCTTTTATAATTAAATTTTAATTTTTTAGAAAAATTTTCTGAGACAAGTTTTTGAAAACTAAACCAAACATGACCTTAATTCATATTAAGAAAAGGGGAATCATTCCTATGAGATGTCAAAATTTGGTAACTGAGATATGTTTCCAGACTGAAAATCTATGTGCCTTTGTCTTTTGGGTCATTTGGTTGGAGAGGAATGCAAGGATATTCCAAGATAAGGTTGCGAATTTGGGTTCACTATGGGATAAAGTGTGTCATTTGGCTTTGTTTTGGGCCTATGTTTCCCCTCCCTTTAAAGGGGTTTCGCTTTTTTTTTTTGATTTCCAAAGATTGGAGGGCTGTTTGTTTGTGCTTCTTGAGGCCTTTTTTGTTTTGCTTTGTTAGTGGCTGTTCTTTCCTCTCTTTTTTTGGCTGCATCAGAGGATGACTTGCCCTTGCCTTGTACCCTTTTCTCCATTTTTAATGAATTATTCTTGATGCTGTTAGAAAAAAACAAAACAAAAAAGCCTACATTTAGCAGTGCTTTATGTGTGTTAGGCCTGGAAGCAAATCGTTTGGCCAAATAAATTGATTGGGGTTTTCTTCTCTTTAAGTGGCCTTTCTGCATTTCTATTGGTAGTACAAGAAATTACTATGATATACTATTGCTTTTACCCGGTCATTGTGTGGCATGTGTTTCGTGTTTTTTTCCTTTCAATTAAACACAAATTGAATGTAAAAATTCTATAGTGGTTTACCAATTCAGCTTCATGTGTATATATACCTGAAACCCTCTTTTATATAGGTTACCTATTGTTATATATTGTTTTTGCTTGGCTTTCTTTCTTGTTTTTTTGTTTTTTTTTTGTTTTTTGTTTTTTTGTTAAGGTTGTTTCATTCTCTCAATAATGTTCTTGCTTGAACTCTTTTTTGTTCGTCAACATATATGACTCCTGTATGTAGGCTTTCTTGGCATGTTCATTGGTCAGGTTGGTATGAATTATAAGTTTGGGGCATTATTACTAGCCATTGAGATTTGGAGGTAATTCTTGTGTGCTTGTTTTGCTGATTACATTCTTTACATGAATCTTTGCAGAGAAGTTGCTGTATTTCTCTGAAAAATTTGACGCAAAGTTGTTCCTTTCTCGAATACATCAAGATACAAGCGGAGCAGATTTGGAGGCTGGTGCTCTTGCTTTGAAAACTGATCTCAAAGGCCGGACACAACAGAAGAAACAATTGGTGAAAGAAAATTTTGATTGCTTCGTCTCTTGCAAAACCACTATTGATGGTAAGTGACCATCACTTGACATGTGGTAATTTGACATAATCTTTTGTTATGGCATGTCGGCCTCTGTTTTTTGAGTCAGCTGTGCTATCTATGCTCTCTCTCTCTCTCTCCCACCCTCCCCTTTGTCTTCTTCTTAAGCTTATAAAACTTTACTTGAAATTTGTGATGGTAAAATGAGATTCTTTTTTCGTTTATTGTACAGATATCGAATCAAAATTGAAACGGATTGAAGAAGATCCCGAAGGTTCTGGTACTTCTCACTTGTTTAACTGTATTCAAGGAGTCAATTCACTGGCAAATCGTGCTTTTGGGACTCTATTTGAGAGACAGGTAGGTAGGATCGAGATTTTAGATTAGCTCAGGAGTTACTTTCTTGTAGGTGTAATGCAGTTCAGATATGTTTTTATTTATTTCTTAAAGAACGTTAATGTAGGATCAAGCTGAGAAGATCAGGTCTGTTCAAGGAATGCTTCAGAGGTTCCGGACACTATTCAACTTGCCTAGTGCAATTCGTGGGAGCATTAGTAAGGGTGAATATGACTTGGCAGTTAGGGAGTACAGGAAAGCAAAGTCAATCGTTCTTCCATCCCATGTACTGAAAAATTTCGTTTTGCATAATATTGTTTCATTAATTAAGATCATTCCTAGTTCTAATTCTAGGCACAACTTACATGTGTTTGTGAATGGGTTTTCTCCTCACCTTTATGTTCACTTATGTAACTTATCATCTTTTTTCTTTTCCTCTCTATTTGGAACCCTGTACCTGTTGTTCTTAAGTGAAGAGCATATGGTTGAGAATGTTTATGCAACATTTTGTTTAGCCTCTGTCAGTTGAAATTCTATTATCTTGTTCTGTTCATGCAATGAGCTACCATTTTGCGACGATGATGTGTTGTTTCTTTAAATAGAGTATTTAAGGATCGAAATCCAATCAAACTAAAGATAAGATAATAAAATGGCTTTGTGTGCTGTTTGCTTGGTTATGGATTAGAAATGATACTTCTCCAATCTAAGCCTCAAATAATGAATTGCTTTCCTACACTGGCATTCATGTTTATACTTGTGAGTTCTTTGAGCTTATTTATTTAGCAGTTGGAATTAGATACTGTATCTTTCTGGTACTACTGTTAATTGAAAAAAATAGAAAGTAATTATATGTGGTAAAAACAAACAATTTTAGTTACTTTTGTATTAAATAATTCAGTTATCCCTATGCATGTGTACCATGCCTGTGTGCCCTTACAATTCTTGAGCACTCATACTTAACTGTTGTTTATCAGCCTAATAAGATAGGTATGGTCTTCCTCAATTTTTACATGGCGGGCTTTTGCTGTGAAGATTTGATGGATATTCTTTTCATCCTTTTACAGTTGTTTTGATGTTAGTATCATCAGATGTTTATTACCTGGTTTGGGGTTTTGTGGATGTTTTCAGTTCCGCCAGTGGTCTTTTATATACCTGGTCTGGGGTTTTGTGGGCATTTTCAGTTTAATTAAGTGGTTTCCTATTCTGGTGTAATCAGGTTATGACCTTCAAAATAAAATGATTTCTTTAGACCTTTGGCCGCTTATCATAGCTTGGAGAACATGGAAGGGAGAATAATTGGAGGGTTATAGGGTTTTGCCTGAGTTTGATATTTTTTTACTCTCTCTCTCTCTCTCTCTCTCTCTCTCTCTCAGTTCTTCAGTCAAAATAAAATTTTCTTGGTTTGTTTAATAAGATATTATTGTATAACAATAAGAGTCAATTATCTTTTTTCTAGCAGTGAGTTTGATTGTTTTCATTTTGGCTTCCTCCTTTTAACATATTGTTTATTTAAAGATATAAATTATACAAGGGAATGGAATTGTAATTATGTTTAAGGTGACAAGCTAATGTGAAGCAATTGATTTATCAAGTTCCTATTAGGATGTATCACATTCGTATGGTCAGTTTATCCTTTTTGATTTTCAGTTGTCTCAATTTTTTCTATCGTTTTCGTTGCTTTGAATGCAATTTTAGAAATTAAACAATAACATTGCTGCCTTAGACATTTGATTATGTAAGGGCATCTTATCGTTAATTGCTTTTTTATGTTTTATTTTTATGATATAGTTTTGTTAAATATTCTTACCTTGGGAGCTTTCTGGAAATGACTGATACTTTGGAGGCATGTAATGCTGAAATCAGTGCTAAGTTTAGCAATATTTTTTAAAATTTACATTTATTTATTTGCAACATGCTTTGTCTTTTTGTTTGTTATATATATATTTATATATTTATTTTTCATTGCATAATTTTTATGTAATTACTTGCTTGGATAAAGTTTTCTGGTTGAATAGAACACAATCCCTATTTTATCTTTTCTTATCCTAGCAAATGTTCTTATGGTAAGACCTCATTTTCAGGTGGGCATATTGAAACGTGTTCTTGAGGAGGTTGAGAAAGTAATGCATGAGTTTAAAGGCACGCTTTACAAGTCCATGGAAGATCCACAAATAGACTTGACAAATGTATGTTTATTTATTTATTTATTATTTTTTGTATACATATAATATATATTTCAGTAGTGTGCTATTATGCTAACAGATATTCGTCACACAGATCTGACTGTTTCTAATATTTTCAGAGGAATGAAATTATGATCTGATAAAATATTTAACGTCATCAAGATTTGAAGTTTGTGTCTTTGTTTCTAGTTGATGTTAGAGATCAGAGAATCTTCTCTCTCTCCCTCTCTCTCTCTCTCTCTCTCTCTCTCTCGGGGTTTCTTTCCAGTTTCCATTTGTTGCCTTGCTGTATTTCTCATTCATTCATGCACACATTCATAACCACACTATTTTGGAGTAGTATCTTTTTGGTTGTTCAATAATAAAATATATGTTTTGTATTCATCCCAAACAATCCTGATAGTCACGAAGGTAATGAAGACTAGTTAATTAAGTCCACAAGTCCCCTAGTAGAATGGTTAAAATTACCATCTTAAGTTTGGGGTGGTTCTATGGTGGGATCATTTGAGTCACTCATCTTGAATGTGTTGCATACTTCTGTCTGTTGCATGTTGATTAGAAACTGTATTAGGTAGTTACAATAGTATTTTATTTTATCTCATTTTTTGAAATCTGGCAACTAAATATTTTTCTTATGCTTAATGTAGCTTGAAAACGTTGTGAGACTTTTGTTGGAGCTGGAACCTGAGTCAGATCCTGTGTGGCATTATTTAAATATACAGGTGACAAAAAAATTTTCTTCAAATGCAATACAGTATGATTTGTTCTCTGGGGATTCTTCAGCGGCTAGCTGGATTGAGGTTATTATCCAAGTTAGCCTGTTTGTTAGGTATTGAAAGATAACCATAGCTTGGTAAAGTGACTAAAGTCATTATTGGAGTTCGTACTGTAGACTCAAAATCAATTTTGTTTCCATTCTTAAATATCTTCTCCCTCTAACTTACCAATATAAAACTTTTTGCCAATTCCTCTAAAATTCTTGTTGAAGTTCCCCCCTTTTCAATTAGTTCAACCACTATTTTGTTGAAGTCACCGTGGTGCTACAAGTGGTTGAACAATTTGCTGATGTTCTTTTGTGCTTTGTCTACTGACAGAATCACAGAATTCGAGGTTTGCTTGAAAAATCTACCTTAGATCACGAAGCAAGAATGGAAATTTTGCAGAATGAGATACGTGAAAAAGCTCTATCTGATGCAAAGTGGAAGCAAATTCAGCAAGATTCAAATCAGTCCGTAAGTGCAACTACTAAAGGGCCGTCTTCTGCTTATATAGGAGCTAACCTGTTTAATACTCAATGTCTGACCCTCTTCCTGTGTACTCTCATCAGTCAGATGTTGACTATTCTCTCATTTCTGGAAACACCCGACTGCTTGGGGATTCACAGCCAGTTGACTTTACTGGTGCAGAAGTTGATGCTCTTAGAGGAAGGTATATCCGCAGGTTAACTGCTGTACTTATCCATCACATACCAGCCTTCTGGAAAGTAGCCCTTTCTGTTTCCAGTGGGAAATTTGCGAAGGTATCTTGGACATTTTTATTTTATATAACCCCCAAATGTATAACCTATAAACCTAAAATGCATCTTAAAACATTTTCTTGTCTAAGCCTAAACATATGCCTAGATGTGATGGGTGTCCTCTTAACATAAATTGGAACTAAAGCGCACGCATTTTATCATTTAAGTGGTTAGAAATTTGTTAATTTGTGTTGTCTTCTTGCGTTAGAGATATCACCTGAGGCCAATACTGCATTTTATCATGTAAAATGGAGCATGAATAATTTTCTTGCTTTGATTTTTACTTGAATTTATTTTTCTTGTTCTGTTCATCTGAAGTTACTGATGGTTCTTGTTCCAGTCTTCCCAAGTTTCTGCTGATTCCAATGTTAATACTTCTGCAAATAAAAGCGAGGAAAAAGTTGGAGACGGAAAGTACTCGAGTCATTCTCTTGATGAAGTTGCTGGAATGATACGTGGTACTATATCTGCATACGAATCAAAGGTAAATATGCTGTCTTGTGTTACTTGACCTCAGAATTGTAAGTTATAGTGGGACCATTTCGTTCCTTTTTAATATGAGCGTTAGTAAGATGCTTTAGGTGGCTGTAATAATGTAATTTCTCCGCTGGAGCTTTACCTCTTCCAAAGTAAGTTTGGTTGATTGGATCAAAATTTTTTGTTAAACCTAGACTTGCTAATTTTTCTTTAGCTATAAAGTCGGCATGTAGTTTTCCTGGGATAGCAAGTTAACAACTAGAGTACTATGCAGATGAGCACGTGTGTGAAAACTTGCACATATTTTATGTTGTAATTATATCCAATGATATGATGTTTAATGCTGAAACAATATTGAAGTATGATGATACTGTGGAAGCATAGATCTGAGTTTAGAGTCTTGCAGTTATGGATATCTGTGTTGTTGCAACCATAGTAATCACTATGAATCCACTATTAAACTAATGGAAGAGAATGGTTGACATACTATGATCATCAACAAACCTTTTCTAGATGAATGTGATTTTTGTTTGCACATAAAAGGTAGCGATGAATGCATGCTGCCCAATTTTACAAATATAGCCAAAGGGCTTTATTCTGGGAAAAAGTGACAAAAAGGTTTTTTCTGTTTCTTCCCTTTTCTGTTTTTACTGCTCGGTGTTGACGGGCACGCATAAGGGCATGATTAGTTCCACAAATCTCACTACACTGACCATAGTAAATTCATTGTTGTACCAAAATAGAGTCTGGATTATTCGATGGGGCTTTCAATTGACAGTCAAATTGACTTGGAGCAATAATCAAACCGGTCAACACTGTATTTGGGCCAGACTGTGTAGAATCGTTTTGAATGGGGACTGCCCACTTCTATACATAGAAGCCATTTTGCCCCCCACTAGAGTTGACCATTTGCCTAAAGTATCCTCTGATCACCCTCCGTGATATGCTTTGCACATGGCGAATGAAGAAACATAGCACATTACCCTTTTGCAGACCTCTTTCGTCAGCCAACAACTTTCATTAACGTTGAAGCATCCCCATTTTTGCCTTAGGAAAACCGGACCACTATGATCTATTACAAACTTGACCCCTTTAAGAAACCATTTCTTTTCAATGAAACCTGTGAGACCTATTTGCTTCTTTTATGACTTGTTCAACTTGAAAAACTACAACCTCTGTGTTCAGTGCATGGACACACCTGTAACTCTAGAACCAATAATCAGGGTCGAACTTACAATGCTTGATGCTTGAACAATCACACATCTGGCATTCTAGGTTCTGATCTGACTGACTCGAGTCATTTAAATCAAGTTTGTCAGATATGAAATGGCTCACTAAGCCAGGATCACTAACTAGTACTAATCTAATAGAAAATACTAATAATATAGAAAAGAATTGTCTTTTCTGTATCCTTTCCCTGGCTCCATTGCTACCCCGTGCTGTAATATGCCAAATACTTGACCATTTACTAGGCCTCTTCTGGTGGACTAATGGTTATAGCATCTGTTCCTATGGCCTTTTGACCTTCAATCTGGTAGTGTTGGTTCCAGCTGTTGAGTCCGTGTTATTAAAGGAGATAGGTGTACCGAGGCGCTGGCTTTACTGAAGTGAGGCACACCTTTTATGTAAAAAAATATATAATTTAATATAAGCAAATAATTTAGGATCCCCATAAGCAAAATGAAATATTAAACATTTAAAAATATAAATACTAACAAGCATTACTATTTTAACATAGACAAATGAACATTATTTCAAAGTTTAACATAAAACATGAACAAGAAGAGGGGAGAAGAAGAACAAGAAGAGGGGGAAAGAAAATTGATCAGTCCAGAGGAGGATGAGAGAGGAGACCAGAGAATAAGCATAAGATGGAAGAAGAAGAAGATGACAACCATGTGAAGAAGAAGATAGCAACCTAGAGAAGACAACAATGTAGAGAAGAAAAAGAGAAGAGAATGCGAGAGAAATGTAAGAAGAGAAGAAGAAGAAGAAGAATTTTTGGAGCTGCTGGACTAGATAATGAAGGCAGGCAGCAACAAAGAGTTCTTCGGAGATTAGGAATTAGGGTTAAATTTTCTTCTATCGTTGATTTGGGGCTGAATGCCCGATGTATTGGCATGTGTACTTAAGAGTAGAGATCTTCTGTAGCTGCACTATATTAAATCAGTGGTCAGATTTCAAACAAAACCAATCAAAGCAACAATAAATAAAAAAAAAGCCCTTTGTGATAAGTATTGGTTTTCCTTGCATTAATTTTTCAGGCATAATTGGTGGTGTTATCTTCAAATTATGATTTTTACTAACAATGCAGCTAAATCTTTTCCCAAACCAATTCTCGAAAGAATATGATGCATGAGGCAGGGTAGAGAAGTTTATACATTAAATTAAATACATAAAGTTATATTTCATGTACATCATTGATATTTGAAGATGTGGTGGTTTTGACTGTGGGAGCCTGGCATGTGTAGGCAGGAGGAATGATTATTTTGAAGTTACTTTGCTGTTTAATTTAGTTGATCGTGATTTTGCGTCAACGGCATTTTCCTCTGATCAATGATGCTCTGTTTTTTCCTCTTTAATTACTTATTTGGAAGATGAAAGAAGATCTAAATGAATATTGATACCACTGCAGGTCCACAATGCATTCCGTGATCTTGAAGAATCAAATATTCTTCACCCATACATGAGTGATGCCATAAAGGAAATATCTAAAGCATGTAAAGCTTTGGATGCAAAAGAATCAGCTCCTCCAATTGCTGGTATGTAGATTTCACTCGAACTGTGGTTTATTGTCTTGTTAAATTGTTCTGACTTTGCTTGTGACCAACAGTTGCAGCAATGCGGACGCTTCAGTCTGAGATTACGAAGATATACATACTAAGGCTTTGTTCATGGTTGCGGGCTTCAACAGAAGAAATATCTAAAGATGAATCATGGGTCCCAGTTTCTATCCTTGAAAGGAACAAGTCCCCATACACAATCTCTTCCTTGCCGCTGGCATTTCGTTCAGTTATGGCTTCAGCAATGGATCAGATCAATTTGTAAGTATCCAGAGCCTAATTAACAGTTTTGCATTAACAAGAGAAGTGTAGTAGCGCTAATGATATCTTGAATAAGAATAAAGTTGAAGAAAAAGAAAGAAAGAAAAAAAAAGCGTGTGCAAATTTCATTTGATTGGATGGTGTGTGCCAAATGGGTGATGACAATATTATTGCTACGCTAGCATACATGGGTGTAAATGAACTGTGCCAGGCTGAAATGAGCTCTAGAAACCTCAACTCTGAGCTTGTGCTTGTCCTAAATTCCAGCTTAAACTTTGTGCTTCTAGATGTATTTATGCTGTTTATACACTATTGAACTTCTTTTTTTTTGGATGGACAAAATCTGGTTTCCTTGAGTACTATCTCAAAGTTTGTACCTTCCAGGATGATTCAATCTTTAAGGAGTGAGGCTACAAAGTCAGAAGATACATTTGCGCAGCTTCAAGAAATTCAAGAATCTGTTAGACTTGCTTTTTTGAACTGTTTGCTGGATTTTGCTGGTATGATGGGTTGGTTACTTCCTCGACTCTGTTTTCCATAGTATTTTATAATGAAATGCAGCTGTAAGTTGTGATTTCCATTTGTTGCTCCTTAATCAGGCCATCTGGAGCATACTGGAAGTGATCTTGCCCAAACTAGATCAAACAAAGGAAGCCCACATATGCCAAATGGATATTCTCATGAATTACAAGGAAGTTTATCTGATCCACTTCCTGGAAGTGTTGTTGATCCACATCAACAGCTTTTGCTGGTTTTGAGTAACATTGGATACTGCAAAGATGAACTTTCTCATGAATTGTACTACAAATACAGACATATTTGGCTACAGTCCAGGTACGTAGTCAGCACTTTGGCTCTTCTTTCTTGGAGAGGAAACATTTCACATTTTTTGTAGAGGGATGTTTAATACCTTTGATTTCTTGCATCAATGAACTACTAGCAATTTCAGACATCTGGTTGCAATGTGGTTTGTGAAAGAGTTATTTGTCAAAAAAAAAAAATGTGGTTTGTGAAAGAGTTAACTCACTGGTTTAGAATTTGCTTAGACCAGGCTTAAATAAAGCCTAACTGGCCCAAATTAATATTAAAGGTGATAATCTTGTTCAAACTGTTTGTAAAGAGAACAAACTTGGGGAATGATGAGACACTCATCCCTTTATATTGATAATAGGTAGCTTATAAGGAAAGCCTTGGAGGCACAAATATGGAAATAATAGAGTAATCAATACACAATAATCAAAGATATTATTCACACTCCCCCTCAAGCTGGTGCCAATGTTTTGAAAACTAGGCCTGTGAGTGGACCGGTGAGCGAACCGGAAACATGACCGGGCGGACGGGTTACTGGTTCAACTGCGGGTGAACCGGAATTGAACCGTGATGTCATAATTATATCATAAATATATTAAAATTTATAAGTATAAAAAATATAGATATTAAAATTACAAAATGATAAATAATAAACAATTACAAAAAATATATATTTCTTAAAATTTATTTTACTTTTTTTATACATTGATTTTTAGTAAAAATAATTAAGATAATATTGAATATATAGTATATATACTTATTACATTGTCAACAATTGTGTTGATAGCATAGTGGTTTGAGTGGTTGTTTTTTATGCACTTGGTTCCATGTTCAAGCTTTTTTCACTGCATATTTTTGGAAGAAATTTCAATTCTTCAAACCTGGCCGATTCTTATGTCGACTCGTCGCCGGTTATTTTGGTTGAACTGGCGGTTCTTCCAGTTTTCAAATTCTAAGCCGGTTTTGAGCATAGTCCGGGTTTGGAAGGTCATGCGGATTCGAAACTAGGCCCGGTCACCGGTTAGACCGGTAGTCCAGTTTGGGTTTTCAAACAATGGTTAGTGCGAAGATATCTTTCATGCCCAACTTGTCAAACACATCATGGAATGGTTTGCTTCCAATTGCCTTGGTGAGAATGTTTGCCAATTGTTCACCTGACCTCACAAAAGGAGTATATATAGTGCCACTGATGAGTTTCTCCTTAATGAAGTGGTGATCAATCTCCACATGTTTTATTCGGTCATACTGAACTGGATTGTGAGCTATGTTAATAGTAGCCTTATTGTCACAATACAGTTGCATGGAATTAGTATGACTAATCCCCAGATCACTTAGTAGCAACTTGATCTACAAGAGTTCACATACATCTTGTGCCATGGCTCGAAACTCGGCTTCTGCACTAGATCGGGCAACTACATTCTGTTTCTTGCTCCTTCAAGTAACCAAATTACCTCCAACAAAGGTACAATAACCAGATATGTGGACCTTCTATCAATTATTGATCCTACCCAATCAACATCTGTATAAGCTTCCACCTAAAGATGATCATATTTGAAAAATTAGAGACCCTTTCTTGGAGAAGATTTTAAGTATCTAAGGATGCATATTACTGCAACCAAGTGTCTCATGAGGAGCATATATGAACTGGGTAACCACACTAACTGTCATGGCAATGTCAGGATAAGAATGTGATTAAGTAAATAAGCTTTCCCACTAGTCTCTGATAACTCTCCCTGTCAACAATAGCTCCTCCACTATCATTACTAAGTTTTTGGTTTGGCTCCAATGGTGTGTCACAAGCTTTACTCCCAAGCATTCCGGTTTCTTTCAACAGGTCAATAATGTATTTCCTATGACAAATAAAAATTCTATCCTTGGACCGAGTAACCTTAATACATAGGAAATACTTCAGATTCCCTAAGTGTTTTATTTCAAACTCGTCTGCCAAATATTTCACCAACCGGAGTATTTCCTTACTGTCATCTCTTGTAAGCACTATGTCATCCACATAAACAATGAGAGCTATAGTTTTACCATGTGAGGAATGCTTCACAAATAAAGTGTGATCAGCATGTCTGTGTTTGAAGCCATATCTAAGCATAGCCTGAATAAATCTCTTAAATTAAGTCCTTGGAGACTGTTGAAGACCATAAAATGACTTCCGAAACCTGCATATTTTACTCTTTGATGGTCGTCAAAACCAAGAGAGATGCCCATATACACCTCTTCTTCTGAATCAACATGTAAGAAAACATTTTTTACATCAAATTGATGAAGTGACCAATCCAGATTAGCTGCAAAAGAGAGAAGTACTCTGACTTAATTAATCTTAGCCACTGGTGCAAAGGTCTCTTGATAGTCTACTCCATAAGTCTAAATAAAGCCCTTCGCCACTAGTCGAGCCTTGAAACGCTCAATTGAACCATCCGCTTTATGTTTCGCAATATACACCTATTTGCATCCTACAGGTTTTTTGCCCTTAGGTAACTCAATTAATTCCCAAGTGCCATTTTTCCGAAGTGCTTTTATTTCTTCTATCATGGCATGTTTCCACTCAGGGGTAGCAAGAGCATCCTAAAAATGATTAGGTATACTCACAGAAGAAACTCTAGACACAAAGGCGCTATGAGAAGGGGACAAATTAGAGTAGCACACAAAGTTAGAAATAGAATGTTTAGTACAAGACCTTACACCCTTTCGTTGGGCAATAGGATTATCAAGATCAGTATGCTCAGGAGGAATAAGGGTTTCAGAGTTACCTGGACTTTTATCAGAAGAAGAAAATAGCAGTGGATGATTAGAAATGGTCTTTTGTATTCAAATAACTTTCTGTTTGTCTTTATCCCTGACATAGACTTTTCCCTCCTTCAATTCATTAGATTCTGTATTTCCACCACTAGTAGTTGGTTCACCTTTTGTGTTCTCAACCACTAGTGATGTGCCAGGAATTGATACACACCCAGGAATTCTTTCACACCAAGGCTTTCCTTGAAGGGAGGATTGTGACAAGAAATAGGACTGTGACTGAAAGAATGTGACATCCATGGATGCAAACCACTTACGAGATGGAGGATGGTAACACTTATAACCCTTTTGAGTAAGAGAGTAACCCAGAAAGACACACTTCAAAGATCGGGAATCAAATTTACCACGAGAAGAAGTATGATTGTGGACAAAACAAACACAGCCAAAGACTTTGGGGGGAATAGAGAACACAGACTCAGAGCCTAAGAAAACTTGATGAGGAGATTTTTTGTGCAACACTTGGGTTGGGGTACTGTTGATGAGGTAGGCAATAGTGAGAATTGTGTCCCCCCAGTAAGATCTAGGCACATGCATAAAAAAAACATGCAACGAGTTATATCAAGAAGATGACGATTCTTGTGTTCCACAACCCCATTTTGTTAAAGGATGGTGCAAGAAGTCTGATGAATAGTGCCATAGGTGGAAAAATAGCTTGCTAGACCAGAATCAATATACTCACCCCCATTATCAGGCCGTAGTATTTTTGCAATTGCCCCAAATTGAGTACATATTGCTAGAATAGGAAATACGTAATTGTGTGATTGTGTTTCCTTATAGTATGCCTTATGGCACTCCTGTAATTATTCAGTATTATCAATATAAAAGGGAATAAAGTCTAACTCATTCGCTAACTCTTTCTGTTCTCCAAAACTACATAGTATCAGAGCCTAAACCCTAGCTCATACCTCTGTCGGCAGCCACCTCTCTCAGTCAACTTCTGTAGCCTATCACCCAGGCCCCCTACAGTCAATCCGAACCTCCCACACTCTTGTTCAGTCCATCGGCAGCCTCCTTGTGCCTCTCGATAGCCTCTTAGGCCTAGTCGACAGCCCCTTTGGCCTTCTAGGGGTCTGTCGGCAGCCTCCCTCTTCAACTGCAGGATTGCCCAGGCTCGTTGGCAACCCTAACTTGTTCGACTAGGGCTGTCGTGGCTTCCTAGGTGGTCAACCAGGGCCTTCGGTGCTCCCTGGTTGATCGGCTAGCCTCACGCATGTAACTAGTCGTCTCTGTATAAAACCAAAAAAACAAAATAATAATAATAATAATAATGTAAAAAAAAAACAGTTTTCTTTTCTTTTTTATGCTTTCATAGGGTGAGTTATGCCTTTCCTTCCACTATTATATTCTGGGTTTGTGATTGGCCCCAAGTTTGAAGGTTCCTTAGTAGGATATTCATGGTAGAGTTCACTAGTGTGTCAACAATTTCTCAGCCGCGTAAGAGCGAGAGCTCCCTTTTACCTTCTACTATGACTGATAATCTCAACCCTGGCCTAAAAATCACTTCTCTATTCAATGGTCAGAACTATCTAGCATGGTCGTAGAGTCTGACTATTTTCCTAAAGAGTAGAGGGAAGATGGGTTATGTTGATGGCAGGATACAGGCATCCACCACTACGGATTCGAGTTATGGTCAGTGAGAGATCACTAACTCCCTCATTATGGGTTGGTTGATCCATTCTATGGTCCCGGAGATTGGAGAGGGCTATCTCTCTATGGACATTGCATACGATATTTGGGAGGCCGTGACTACTACTTACTCTCGGAAGGGGAACTTCTCCCAGGCTTTTGAATTACGTTGCTCCATTGAAAGGTTGGTACAAGATGAGATGACTATCCTTCAATATTTTACCTTCCTTAGCAATGGGTGGAAGCGACTTGATCATCTTCAGGATTACAAACCAGTCTGTCCCACTGATTCTGTGGGTTATCGGAAGTTTGTGGCCCAAGAACGGGTCTTCAAGTTCTTGGAAGGCCTAAATGTGGAGTATAATCCAGTGCGGAGTAGAGTCCTTGGCATAGATGTGCTTCCTTCTCTCCAGGAAGCCTTTGCTTTTGTGCAGAATGAGAAGAGTTGCCGCTCTGCAATGCTTCCCTCTGCCACTCCTAATTGCCCTCGGCCTTGGTTTTTGTACCCCCTCGCGATGGCGATCGTGTGACTTGTGGTTCTCGTCCTTCCTCTGAGAAGGATAATCTTTTCTGTGACTACTGTCATCAATCTCGCCACACACGAGAGACCTGTTGAAAGCTGCATGGGGCTCCTTCTGGTGGCTGAGGAGACCGTCCTGGTGCTCAAGGGGGTAGGTTTGGTCCATCTAGAGATCGAGGGGCCAACGCTCGGGCACATCTTTCAAACACGGCTGAGCCACCATCTTCGTCTCTGGCTGTCTCCCCTGCTGCTGATGTTTCGAGATTCTCCGTCTTGAATTTTGAGATTGTTTTTTGACACTTGCTATTCCTGGTGCACCCTTTTCTTCCTTTGCCAATTCAGGTAACTTGGCTTCCTCTGAATGTGCATTGCTATCTTATACGCCTGTGCCATGGATTATTGATTCTGGTACTTCCGACTATATGTCTGACTCTTCTAATTTATTTTCATAGTACAAACCCTCATCTGGTCAGGACAAAGTGCATGTTGCTGATGGTACTTTTTCATCTGTGTCGGGGAAATGTTTAATTCATGCCACCTCTTCCCTTCCTTTGTCTTCTGTCCTCCATGTTCCCAATTTTAGTGTTAATCTTTTATCATTGAGTCGTATTACCCGTGACTTAAATTGTAGCGTGACTTTTTTTTCTTGATCATTGTTTTTTTCAAGACCTTATCATGGAAAAGAGGATTGGCAGTGGTAGAGAGGACCATGGTCTCTACATTCTGGATCAGACAGACAAGCTGGCCCATTCAACTATTCAGTTCCCATCTACCATGGATGACATTAGGCTGTGGCACCGTCGCTTAGGCCATCCCGCTTTTTTATTACTTAAGCATTTATTTCCTTCTATCTTTGAGAAAAATAATATATCTGATTTTCAGTGTGAGTCTTGTCAACTTGAAAAACAACACAGAGTCTCTTTTGCTTCTATTAATAAAAGTTCAGTTCCCTTTTCTTTGATTCATTCTGATGTCTGGGGTCCATCCCGTTTTGTGTCTTTAACCGGTCAAAAATGGTTTGTTATCTTCATAGATGATTGTTCCAGGGCCACTTGGGTATATTTGATGAAAGATAAAAGTGAGGTGTTTTTTGTGTTTCAAAACTTCCATAAAATGGTTTGTGACGGTTGTTAAAATTTTTTGTTCTAATAATGGGGGGGAATATATCGACTCTGGTCTTGCCACTTACTTCGCCACTCATGGCATTATTCATTAGACTTCATGCACTAATACCCCTCAACCGCAAAATTCGCCATCTCCTTGATGTCGCCCGTTGTCTATCCTTTGAGATGTAGGTTCCTCGATCCTATTGGGGGGAAGCGATTCTCACTGTCGTTTATTTGATTAATTGTCTTCCTACCCAAGTCCTTCAAAAACAAACACCTTTTCAAGTTTTGTTTGGGTCTACCACTTCCGAGTTCTCCATTTCTTCTAAGACTTTTGGCTGTGTTTGCTTTGTCCATAATCATTCACCCACTCGTGGTAAATTAGATCCTACGTAGTGTGTTTTTTTGGATTATTCTGCCACCAAAAAGGGTTATAAGTGTTATCATCCTCCTACTTACAAATGGTTTGTCTCTATGGATGTCACGTTCTTTGAGTCTTAGCCTTACTTTTTGCCCTCTCCGGTATCACCGTCATCCCTTAGGGCGAGCCTTAGTGTGGAGATTCTTGTTCCACTTTTGCCTGTGGTTGACCATATAGAGGATGATGAGCCAACAGTTGTTGAAGAAAAGGCAGGCAAAGTTTATATCAGGGACAAGGACAGACAGCATGTCACTTGGATGCAAGGGACTACTTTCCTCCCTCTATTGCCAACTTCTCCGGATGAGTGTCCTAAGAGTCCAGGTAATTGTGATTCTAGTACTCCTATTCCTGATTTTTCAGATCTTGATATTCCCATTGCAAATAGGAAGGGGATTAGGTCATGTGCTCATCATCCGATTACTAATCATGTCTCTTATTCTAATCTGTCTTCGTCACATAAAGCCTTTCTGTCTAAAGTGTCTTCTATAAGTCTATCTACCAATTTTCAAGATGCTCTCTTTATTCCTGAATGGAAGCATGCCATGATGGAAGAGATGGAAGAGATGAAAGCTCTCAGCAACAGTGGCACTCGGGAGTTAGTGGAGTTATCTAGAGGCAAAAATATAGTTGGATGTAAGTGAGTATACACGGTAAAACACAAAGTCGATGGTTTCATAGAACAGTACAAAGCAAGACTGGTTGCTAAGGGTTTCACTCAAACTTATGGGTAGATTACCAGGAGACATTAGCACCGGTTGCTAAGATGAATTCTATGAGAATCTTACTCTCTCTTGCTGCAAATTTGGAATAGTCACTTTATCAGTTTGATGTGAAGAATGCCTTCCTTCATGGAGATCTAGCAGAAGAAGTCTATGTGGATATTCCTCTTGATTTTGCGGATGCTAAGTCCAACGGTAAAGTATGCAAGCTCCGAAAGTCACTTTATGGGCTAAAGCAGTCTCCTAGGGCTTGGTTCGAAAGGTTTGCTCAAGCTATGTTGAACTATGGGTTCAAGCAAAGTCAAGCTGATCACACCTTGTTTGTAAAACACTCTTTACATGGAAAGACCATAGCACTTATTGTCTATGTTGATGATATTGTTCTGACAGGAAATGATGTTGTGGAGATTTCTCGTTTGAAAGAATACTTAGCCAAGGAGTTTGAAATCAAAGACTTAGGCTATTTGAAGTATTTTTTGGGCATTGAAGTAGCTCGGTCCAAGAATGACATCTTCATATGCCAGAGGAAGTATGTACTTGACTTGCTAAAAGAAACTAGAATGCTTAGAGGTAGACCTTGTGATACACCTTTAGAACCAGGCCAGGAACTGAGTGAGGATCCAGAGGGAGATCCAGTGGACAGGGGAAGATACCAGAGACTAGTAGGAAAGCTTATATACTTATCTCACTCACGTCTAGACATTGCTATTTCTGGGAGTATGGTGAGTCAGTTTATGCGTGCTCTAAGAACTTCCCACTTAGAGGCAATTATGAGAATCCTGAGATACTTGAAATCTTCTCCTGGAAAGGGTCTCTATTTTTCAAAACATGGCCATCTCAGTGTGGAGGCATTTACTGATGCAGATTGGATTGGATCTGTCACTGACAGACAATCAACTTCCGGATATTGCACATTTGTTGGTGGCAACCTAGTCACGTGGTGAAGTTAGAAACAAAATGTGGTTGTTAGATCTAGTGCTGAGGCAAAATTCAGGGCTATGGCTCAAGGTGTATGTGAGTTACTATGGATTAAACTTTTGTTGGGAAACTGGGGAATCCACCATAATGACTCCATGCGAGTATACTTTAACAACAAGGCCGCAATCAACATAGCTCATAATTCAGTTCAACATGATAGAACTAAGCATGTGGAGATTGATAGGCACTTCATCAAGGAAAAACTCACTAGCGGTATCATATGTATTCCATTTGTGAAGACTAGAGACCAACTAACCGATGTTCTCACCAAGGGGTTAGGGAGCAAATCATTTCATGTCATCCTCAACAAGCTGGGTATGAGAAATATCTTTGCATTAGCTTGAGAGGGAGTGTTAGAATAGAAAATAAGTTAGAATAGGAAATACATAATCGTGTGATTTTGTTTCCTTATATTATGCCTTATGGCACTCCTGTAATTACTCAGTATTATCAATATAAAAAGGAATGAAGTCTAACTCATTCTCTAACTCTTTCTCTTCTCCAAAACTACACATATCATTTTATAGAAATTACGAAACATAGAAAAGACTTCCCTTTTGTCTTTTATAAAATACACCCAAATAGTACGAGAAAAATTATCGATAAAAGTAACCATCTATGACCTTTTAAAGACACAACATGAGATGGACTCCAAATATCATAGTGAATTAAGGAAAAAGGTACTAAACTTTTATTAAAAGTTGGAGCAAAAGAAGTTCTGTGTTGTTTTCCAAGTTGACAAAACTCACAATGAAACTCAGAGACATTATTGTTTGTAAAAACATAAGGAAATAAATGTTTAACTAATAAAAACGATGGGTGCCCAAGACGTTGCTGCCATAACCACAGGTTTGATACCATGTTTGTTAACAGAGAACAAAACTTAGGGAATGACAAGACACTCATCCCCTTTTATATTGATAATAAGTAGCTTACAATGAAAGCTTTGGAGGCACAATTATGGAAATAACAAAATAAGGAAATAATAGCTAATAGAATAATCAATACACAATAATCAAATATTATTCTAACACAAACATGGGTCAATAATGATGAATGCAAGAGTCAGGGTTGGTGTTAACATAATTTTCCTGAAGCTCAAAAGTTATAGGTTTGGGATAATTCTCCCTGAATTTGCATATTTACCTCTTATTTTATTTCCCTTCTTTCCTTCTTTCTCTTAAACTGTATAATTTTAAAATCTTTTTCATATTTCTAATTATGTCTAACTGATAGTGAATTTTCAGCAATTTAACGTTCTTCATCTCACTTAGTTTCATTCTCTCTCTAGTCTAAACTGATCTACAGATTTTAGTTGTGACATTCTTCGCTTTTTCATTTTTCCATTTTATGAGTTTACTGATAGGATACTTTCTGTCAAAATAATTAATGCTCAATAAGTACGTATTTTGATTCATCTGCCGAATGTTATTTTGAGCCATAATATATTGTCTTCACCACTACAGGGTAAGAGACGAAGAGGACAACGATATGCAAGATTTGGTTATGTCTTTCTCTGGGCTTGAAGAGAAGGTCATTGAACAGTACACTTTTGCAAAGGTAGATCCAATTGTATGTCTTCAATTTAATTGAACATTGTTGCTACCACATGTATCCACATCACTTGGTCAGAATTATTTTCTATCTTGTCTTGCTTTCTATATTAAATAGGCTTTGTTCTAAATTTATTCTCATTTGGGTGGATAATTGAGTTGGCCATCCTCTGGAATTTCCTTTGTGAAATTACTGCTAAGTCAAATGATAAAATTATATGGTCTAAACTCGTCTAAATCTTTCATCGAGATAGTTGTGGTGGATAATATTTTCCTAAATTTACTGTCAGGCTACTTGCCTCAATACTGAGTTTCTATTAGAGTTCTTAGATTTAATATTTGCATCCCTTTTTTCCTTTTAGTTTACAATTTGCCTCCAGCTCTGTTTTAAAATTATAAAGGAAGCACTGCCGGTTGTCAAGAGAAGGATTGGTGATTTTGAGAAGTAGTTCTGTGATTTTTTTTTATTTGTTTGTTTGTTTTTGAAATGAACTATTACACACAGAATTCACATTTGCAACCTCTCTGTTGTTTGATGTTTACTTCTACAGAGTTCTGCCCTACAGAAAACCAGAGACAGGCTTTGTTACTGTGACCTCCCTAAATATATGGGCCTTCCAGCTCAGTATTCCCCTTCTAACTCAGCATTCTTACCTTTTTTCTTAGGCAAATTTGATTAGAACAGCAGCCATGAACTATTTATTGGATTCAGGAGTTCAATTGGGGGGAGCACCTGCAGTCAAGGTGATAAATTAATTATCGGTTCTTTTCTTCTTTGAACGCCTTCTCTGGTGCACACTCTTTTATCTCAACAATTCCTCAAATTGCTAATACTTTGCAGGGTGTGCGAGATGCTGCTGTAGAGTTACTGCATACACTGGTAGCTGTGCATGCAGAGGTACTTATAATGCATGTTTTGTGTTTGGAAATTTTCTTGTTTTGCTGTTAAATTCTTCCTGCTTTGTTTTCGTTTGTTTTTTTGGCCTACATGCCATGCATTGTATTTTTTATTTCTATAAAATGAGAAGCCATATCCACATCAGTTTAAGGCCAATCTCTGAAGGTCAACTAAGCGATCTGCTAATAATCTATTTTAGTTCTTTTGCTTATTTAAGTCTATGAGGTGAAATAATTCCCTTGTTTCAGGTCTTTGCAGGCTGCAAGCCCCTACTCGACAAGACGCTTGGTATACTTGTTGAAGGCCTAATTGATACTTTCCTCAGTCTTTTCCATGAAAACAAAGACAAAGATCTTAGGTCTTTGGATGCAAATGGTTTCTGTCAGCTCATGCTCGAGGTAAATAGTGGTGATCCACTTTCTTTTTATTTTCTCTCCTCTTCTCTCTCTCTCTCTCTCTCTCTCTGGTCTTAAATTAGGTACTGTTTATTTTGAAAATTATTATTTTTTGATCCTGCAACTGCTAATTACAGACAATCATGCATTAAAATAAATTAAATACAACTTTATATATATTTTTTGGAGCAATATCAAAAAAGAAAAAGAAGCATCATCATAATCATAATCATAATCATAATAATAATAATAACAATAATGATAATGATGATAATATAATAATGATACGAAGATTCTTGGGGACAGGATAGATGACAATTTGTTTACCGTGTCATCCTTGCATGATTTGAAATGGATGAAAAGAATTTTTTTATATTTAAAAAAAAAAAAGGTGAGTTTAAGGGCCTGATTGTTATGTTTTGTTTTTATTGTTTTTATTTCCATTTTTTGTTTTTGAATTTTTGGAAATTAAACATGGTTGTCATGGGATGTTTCCCTTATTTTAATGTACTTGAGATTTTTAAAAATTCATTGGACTCTGAAAAAAATGTGTTTCTGTTCTGTTTTGCATTTTTTCTATTTTGAGAAAGTACTGGTTTTTGAAAATGATGCCAAAAATCTACATGGTGCTTATTCATTTATTTATTTCACTTGCAGCAGATTCAAGTACATTCTTTGATTTGAATGCCTGACATAATTACTTGCTCAAATGCTAACTGTTTAAAATTTTCTTCCGCAGCTTGAATATTTCGAGACCATATTGAATCCATATTTTACAACTGATGCAAGGGAGTCTCTGAAGTCTTTACAAGGGGTTCTTCTGGAGAAGGCCACCGAGGGTGTGATAGTGTCTGTTGAGACTCCAAGTCATCAACGCCGGCCAACTCGTGGGAGTGAAGATGCTTTTTCAGACGACAGACAGCAAGGCATGACCGTGTCACCCGATGATCTCATTGTAAGTGTCCAACCTATTTAGTCTCTTGGTCTGATGCCTTTTAGCATTAAGGATATTTTGATTAGTGCTTTTATGTTTTGTTCATGTTGGTTTGCAGCAGAATTTGACTTGAGGTTGGGGTTTGGCAATTGCCTTTATTTTAGTGAAAATTTTTTATTATAAATTTTTTAAGAAGCTTTTCACTTTTTGATCCTACTAGACAAGTAGACCCCAAAAATTAAAGAAATTGAAAAAGTCCACTGAAGACCCACAAAAAGCAAAAAAAATTGATTTGCCTTCAGTTTTTTTTTTTTTATATATTTTATTTATTATTTTTAAAGGTCCTAGACTACAAGGATCTAAAAGTAATATTTTTTTTCGACACAATTTAAACAAAATAAAAAATAAATAAAAAAAAAGGGCTCACTAAAGGCGAAAAACTTGAAAAAAACATGTAATTTTTGTAGCTGTTGCCAAACTCATTGCAGAACTTGAACAGAGATTTCTAGAGAAACTTTAAGAACACAGGCTCCTTTGGGAATTGGTTATTTTAGTTGATTTTTTGGCTATTTATTAAAAGTCATGTAGAAAAGTAGAGAGAGTGGTGTTACAATTTGTAATAGCTTTTGGCTTTTTGATTATATTGGTCACTCCCCACACAAGAATATCCCCACAAAGAAAGGGGAAAATCTCTATGAGCATTCCCTCTAATGATAGTCTTATGAATAAAACTACATAACCTAATTTGTTATTGCTTTCAACTTAGATAAGTTAGGCTTGTATCAATCGCATAAATGGTGACGATGCCTCCTGTAATACTTTTTTCTTTTTCTTTTTCCTGTAGCACATTATCATAGACAGTCTCTCTCACATGCTTTTGTACATGTTTCTATTTCTGCTTAGGCCCTTGCCCAGCAGTATAGCTCCGAACTGCTTCAAGCAGAGCTTGAGAGGACTCGGATTAACACAGCATGCTTTGTGGAGTCACTTCCGCTAGACTCAGTTCCAGAATCAGCCAGAGCTGCTTATGCTTCTTTTAGAGGATCAACGGATTCACCCAGCAGAATTTCAGAGGATCACAAGCTGTTGAATCCCCAGGCTATTCCCGGCAAAGACATAGATGAATTAACTAGTAAACCCTTATTCTTTTATTACTATTTTTTTACCCCCCCTCCATATTGTTTGTATTGTTGTATTGTAGTGATTGATACATTCTGTTGTGAAAAGAAATCATCCACATTATTCCCCTAATGAATTTGTTCATGTTCATGTTCATAAGCATTTTGCTCCTCTTTATATGAACAACAAAAACCATGTTAAGTCATTTGGCACTGAGCTTGTGAATTTTGACTTGTAATAGCTTTTCGGAAAGGAGATATTGCACCAACAAATCCGTCACCAGTGATGACTGGTATCAGGCTTATGGGATTCCATGCTAAAGATGCCTAATTGTTGGAGGGCATTAGTTTTGTCAATATCGTCTTTGCTGTTGAAGTTACGACGGTTATACTTTGTTTTTAAAACCAAATCATAATTAATTCATGAGTATGTAGAAAATACAAAACATAAATAATTATGTTTGGTTGCATTCTTGAAATTAATATACCATTACATTAGTAGCGATGGCAACACTAGCAAGGTGGAAGTGACTACAGTGACAGTGGTGATATTGATGGTGTTGAGGTGACAGTGGTGATATTGATGGCGTTGAGGTGACAGTGGCGACAATGATAGTTGTAATGGCCAGGGCGGTTATAATGGTGGTAATATGATGACATTGGTAAATTTTAATTCAAAAAATATTTTTCTCCTTCTGAAAATGAAAAATATTTCTTATTCAAATAAATTTATTTTCCGTTAATCATAAAAAAATGTTTTTTGTTGCACCAAAAGCTAGAAGAAAATGAGAAAAATATTATTTGCCCAAACGAATGGAGTTAGAAGTCATGATATTTTAGGGTGGGACGATATTAACCATCTAGATACATAACATTGAAAAGTATGATAGAATACACATTAACCATTCAACAAGTGTAGTAACCCAAATGCTACAGTCATTTTGTTTTCATTTCAACCTCAGAATCTAAAACAGGTTGAAGTAAACGTAGACAGAAGACTGAATTGATGATAAAAGCATGGCAACAAATGTGAAAGCGGACGAGTTTCCTCTTGGGACTCTTGGATTCCAAACAGGTTGTCCAGATGTCAAGCTGTTCTCAATGGAGGAGAAACCAGTATCACACCATCGCCCCTAACAAAGAGAAAAGGGACCGTGCGTCTTGTAGCCTGAAATAAAATAAGACAATATTAACAAATTTAAACACAACTGGGTCAATAGACAAGATAATAAATTTATTTAAATAAATAAATAAAAACATTTTGTTATGCGAGAAATTTGCTGCATGCCCCCTACATGAATGTGCCTAAAGCATAACTAGAATCCTCAAAATCAGGAGGATGTTTTTCAATTATATATATATATATCATATGCATTTTAGCTACAAAATTAAATTCTACCAAGCTGGCATTATGAGTTGCAAGGTTAGAGGGGGTGTCCATAACTTTATATCCCCTAGTAATATGACCTTAGAATTAGAACTATGTTCTTGAACTATTAAGTCATTTTTTTCTCTCCCCTTTTTCCGGATAAGTAGCAAAGGCAAAATGCTTAATAACATTCTTCGATTGGTGAAAAATATTATTATTTAGGGGATGTGATAATAGTATTGATCATCTTTAGGACATTTTCCTAAAGGCGAGTTGTCTTTTGTATAATCTACAGGTATACCTGTTGCACACAAAACAGAGCAATACATCACCCTATGCATTGAAGTTCTCTGTAGCTCAATAGTAACTGTACTGGATCAAAAGATTCAAAAACCAACTTCAAAGCTTAAAAGAAGACCGCTCCACATCATCAAAAGATCTTCTATTCTACTCTGCCTATACACTCCACCTATGAAGCACTGATACTTCAAAAAACATGTCGTACCTGTACCGGATACTTATTGGCATATGGTATCTCGTATGGTACTTCTGCATACGTGTCAAGTACACAAAACACGTACCCAAGTTTTTTCTCCTTAGTTTTTGGCGTACCTAGTATGTACCCAAGCCGTACCATCTCTCAGTTGAAATAATATTTTCTTCTACTACAGAAATAAACTCCTTTCACTAGACTTCTTTTTTATTTTTTGTTTCATGCTTAGCATGATTTTAAAATTAAACTATGACTTGTAAATTATTTAATATATTGACATTTAATTTTGATTTATATCTTTACTTTTGGCATTAAATGTTAATTGTAGATTGGACCTTAATTAATTTTTGCATTACTCTAAATTAAAAATAAATATTTTTTAACAAGTATACCAAGCCGTATCCGTACCTTCTTTTTTTTTTTAATTTTTTTAATTTTACCGTATCGACGTACCCGTATCGTAACAGTACCAGTACCCGTGCTTCATAACACTCCACATTCATCAAGCACAATGGAGCTGTCAAGTAAGCTTTTTTTCTGCTGTTCTCCACAAGCTCCCCACCCCAACTATGCATAAGCTCACTTTCACTGGAAAGACCCAAGGAACTCCAAAAAGCTCAAAATAAAAATCATCCTCTACACATCAAGATAGGCACCATTGCAAAGATGATCATTGATGCTGGGAGTTTGGATAAGATAGTGTCCACAGAGATGGTGAAGTAATTGTGACAACTAGAATGAACCCAACTCACTATTTACCCTCCCACACCACATCATGTCTCAACTCTCTTCCCCACTTATATCCCATAATAACGTACCCAAAGAACCACCAATAATGGAGTCATCTATTCTTATTACTACAAGCCTGGTGTGACAATTGTTTATAGGATGTCTTCCTATCTATCCTAACCTCTGCACCCCTCCCTATGGAAGCCCTATATTAGAGCCAAATATCCACCTGAGGTCTAGACTCAACCTAAATTTGAGCCTCATATTTCATCGACCTACTCCAACGACTAAAATCTCTGCCATGATTTTACTTCCACCACCTTGAACTAAAATCTAGCCCATCAGATATGTTTCTTGTTCAAAGTAGAAGCATCCACCTAATCCGTTGCAGCACTTTCCAATGGCTTTAAAAACCACATTTTTCTATATGGAGAGGGAGTTCCATTGCACGAATCCAAATGTTTGGGACACTCCACAAACATATTATCTTCTTTCTATATGTTCCTCTTTCCTTTGGGCCAATGGAAGGAGATAACATTCTGTAAATGGATCTTCCAGAACCATTTTCAAAAGGTTTTCCTTTAAGAAAATCTTTGTCCAACATCCCTTCACAATTCAGAAAAAATTGCTGGATTTATTTTTGCATCTAAAAATTCTATCTTCTCAATTAGAAATTAGGGGAAAAGATGTAGCTATAGATCTGAACTATCAAACAAGTAGGTACAAATCATGGACTTTCTTGGACATGCAAAAGTATACATATAATTCAATAAAGATGCTTGATTTTCAATGGCATAGCAAATCCTCCATACCAGGGGACCAGAAAATTTTCATATTTAGCTTGTAAGACTCCAAGGCAATGGCAAGTGCATAGTCTAAAATTTTAAATCATCTAAACTGCCAAAATTCACAAAAGTGAAATCTTTGTCCAACAGTTTCAATTATCCACTAGTTGTGAATAACAGACCATATTACCATTTAAGAATGAAAGCAGATCCAGTAAATTTTTGCGCAAAAATAAATAAAAATAAAATTCAAGAATGAAAGGAGAAGGGAAAATATATATGTTTGTAGCATACCCGAACAATCTCCTCATAAGTTTCATCATCAATCTCCACAGTTGTAACAATTTCTTCAACGTCCCCAAGAATCATATTCAAGTGCTGATCATAAGCCTGAAAACAAAATTGCCACAATGGCAAAACATACACAAATATTAGAATTCAAATATAATTGTAAAAATTTAGGGCTCATTATACTCGTGGTCTCTGTAATTTAGATCGTGTCAATTTGGTCCATGTAGTTTCGATTGTATCTATTTTTCACTTTAATTTTTCATACTAAAAGTAGTTGATAACATCGGTTAAGAAATATGATAGAAATCAAGGGCAAATGGTAATTCAACCACTCAATATTTTGAAAGTGAATGGACTATTTTGCCCCTTGATTTTAGTCCAAATTCTTAAGTGGTGTTATTGATTGTACTAAATCAACACAACGTAAAAAGTTCAAGGTTAAATTTGATGCAATTAAAACTACAATGATCAAATTGACACAAGGGGTAAACTACAGGTACTACAGGTATAATTTGCCCAAAAATTTAATACAAGTAGGTTAGTGGAAAGTTAGCAAATATTGAAAGAATAGATAACCTCAAAATTTTTCTCTTATAAAAGCTTTAAAAGGTTTTGGTTCCAATATTGTGGCATTCACAAAACATGCCTATGACTACTTGATGATATATATCATATACATAATCCATTAATGGCATTCAATCATGAAGAGTTCCGATCCAATGTCATTGCAGTGAGGTCAGTCATGTTTGATAAAATATTCTATGGAATGTGCATCAACTGAGCAATATCATGGGGTTCCAAGAATGAAAATAAAACTTCATTGATAAATGGAACATATTGTGGCAAGCAAACATCAATTGTTCTACTTCGCTTCCATTACATGCCTTCAGATGTGTGTTTTCATTCTTTCTTACTTTATTCAAAATCTTATCATTTTAAATCCAGAGTTTTGTTAAGACAATTATTGATGGCTTCTCAGCTAAAGAGTGAAGTGACTAAAATCGTGTAAAGCAATGCTAGTAGAGGGTAAAATTGAAGCATGCCTCCATCCAATTTAGACTAGATTGACCTGAGCAAATCAAAATTCCATATTTGATTGAGGGATTTTTGGATTCAAAGTAGGGTATATCCAGAGAGTTCTAGGCTTGATTAGGATGGTTATCAGGTTGATGCTACAGTACAGACCTGGACTAAAGTAAACAATCAATTTCAACAAAACCCAGCTGAAATCTAGTTGTACCTTGTGTTCTGAAACAAAATATCATCAAATAAAGTAATAAAAAATAACCAGACCTAACTCAGTAAAAAACCCAGAACTAATCATATAGTTTATTAGCTACAAATCCAGCATAAAGAAATTGAAACAAAAAGGGGGTCCGGACCAAAATCATTGATATGTATATATATATATATGGATGTATGAGAAAAAGAGAGGAAGTGTAACAGACATGGAGTTTGCCGCGGAGTTCACGATCGGAACGGAGCTTGACGTAAATGCGCTCGTCGAGGCTGAGTCTGATCAAATCCAAAGGCTCTTTCACTGCGCTGTCTTCTTCTCCCTCCATTCCCTCTTCTTCTTCTTCTTCTTCTTCTTCTTCTCCTCTCTCTCTCTCTCTCTCGCGTAAGAACAAAACTACAAAGCAGTCTGCTCTGTTCTACTGTTTTTGGGGAAAGGCTCTACGCTTGTGTAAAACCCTAATCAGGGTGTTTGTTTTTGCTTCAGAAAGTACTTTCCACAAAATTTTATTTATTTTTTTTGTATTTTTTATTTTTAATGAATTTTTTTAATACTTTAAGTAATTTTAAAAAAATTTAAACACACTTAATATAAATACACTTAAAAAATATAATGTTTATAAAAAAAAAATTTAAAAATCATTAAATATCAAAAATACGAAAATTCAATACATTTTTTTATATTTTTGTGTATTTATTAAATTTTTTATAAATATTTTATTGTTTAGATATATCTAAGTAAGGTGCATCTAGAAAATAAAAAAAAAATTTACTTAAAATTTTAAAAATATTCACTAAAAATAAAAAATACGAAAAATAAAAAAATTAATTTCTGAAAAACTGAATTCAGAAAATTGAAACCAAACCACTAAATAACTTTTACAATAATTCCTATATTACCCTATATGTCATAATTTATTTATTTTTCTATAATTTTTTTCTCTCTTTTAAAAACGGGCAAATTATATTAAACCCCCTCAAATTATCGATCATTTACATTTTACCCTCGTGTTTCAAACCTAACAATTTCCCCCTCAAACTATTTAAATTCGAACATTAACTCATTTTATAAGTCATTTGTCAGATATTTTGATGAAAAATTGTCAAGTGTTGTGCACATAATGATTATATTAAATTTTTACAAAAAATAAAATATGGTAATTTAGTCATAAAATTTAATATAATTATTATGTACACAACACTTGACAAATTTTTAGCCAAATATCTAACAAATGACTAATAGAAAGACTTAAGCCTCGTTTGAGAACAAACTATTTTAGTAATTTTTTGGCTAAATTATGAGATAAAAAAAAAACTTGTATATTTGGAATAGTTTTTTGGTTTTTTTTATGAAAAGATATGCAAAAAGTAAAGAGAAAATAAAAATTTTGACTTTCTGATATGGGTTATAGGCTTTTTGATTTTTTAGTAACTTTTTGGCTTTTAGGTAGGGATGGCAATTTAAACCCAGCTCGACGGGGACTCAATCCCCTGATCCCTATTTGAGCAGTTTTTCTCCGAAAAATATCCTCAACGGGGCGAGGATGGTATTCAAAAATCAATCCCTGATCAGTTTTGGGTCGAGAACGGGGATAAGTGTTCGAGTCCCGTACCCGGCCCAACCCGTCTCTGTTTCTTGAAGTGAAATTACTATTTTACCCTTATATATATATATATAAACCAAACCCTCATCATCTCACTTCTCTCTGTCTCAGACTCACTCACTCACTCAGATTTCTCTCTCTTATTCTCTCACTTCTTATCATTATCATCATCATCCAAAACAGATCTGAACAAATTCATTGATCCTTCACCACCGCCGCCTTCGCCTTCGCCTTCGCCTTCGCCTCCGCCACCATGGTTTCATCTTCGACTCCTCAACGCCGCCGCTTCACTCTCGTATGTAGAGTTGTGCAAAATACCGCCAAATCTGCTAAAACCACACTGATCCATATCAATCTACACTGCTCTAACCGCTAACTGTGGTTTAAATTTTAAAATTTATAATCTGTCAACTGAACCAACCGCTTCGCTCCGCTATAGTTAATACATATATATATTTTAACTTCCAATTAAACACCAATATAAAAATGAGTGTGAGAGAGATTTAAGATATGAAATTTATTACAAATTAGTGGATATATATATGAAACATATTATGTAAAATTTCTTTATGTTATATATCTAAAAAATATTATACAAATTAGTGTTATATATTATGCAAATGTATGATAATTAGTTAGAATATTCTTCAATCCACCAAAAACTGTTCAAACCGCAATTTGTCAATCCGCTAACCCGCCATTCAGTTTGTAATTTTACTTTCAAACCACCTGAACCGCACCTCGCACACCTCTTCACATCCGCCAAAAAAGTAGCCGCAGCATCGCCTCTGCCTGTCTTCCGCCGTAGATTTCGACATTACTCATCGCTTCTTCCGTCGCAGCACCGCCTCTGTCCGGCCTCCACTACAGTTCCGGTGGATGATTTTGATTTCGATTTGACCCAGACGACGACATACGGTTTGAGCCAGCCAATGCGACAGTTGATCTGTAAGAACAACTAAGATCCATATATATGTGATGATGATGATGATAGATACATATATATGTGTATGTAATGAACAATTTCATATCTCTCTTTTTTTTCTTTTTTTTTTTAAAGTTATTGATGATGATGATGATGATGATAGATACATATATGTGTGTGTGTGTAATGAACAATTTCAATTTTTTTATTTTTTATTTTTTTAAAGTTGATGATTATTGATGATGATGATGAAACATTGAAAACATATATATATTTTTTATTGTTATTTTTGTGTTGAACAAAATTATATTAAAAAAAAAAAACAGGTCGGAGATTTTTTGGGATCGGGGAAACCCGATCCCCGTTAGGGGGCGGGGGGGTGATGGTGTCCTCGCCGGGGATCGAGGGCAGAGACGGGAATTTTTTTGCCTTCAGGGATTGGGGACGAGAAGTGTAATCCCCGACCCGTTGCCATTCTTACTTTTAGGCTAAAACTATTACTTCCCAAACGAGGCCTTAATGTTTAAATTTAAATAACTTGAGAGGGTAATTGTTGCATTTAAAACATAAGAAGAGTAAAGTGTAAATGACCGACAGTTTGAGGGGGTTTAATATAATTTGCTCATTAAAAAATATGAAAAAAAGACTATCACATTCATATATAATTAGGAGGGAATAGGTTTGAATATATTATTAAAATGACTAATTGTCTATAAATTTTTTACATCAAAATTTGAAAAAATTTATAAGGGATGCCAGAAGAATGGGGTTGGAGTTGGGGAAGTGATAGGTGTGGCGAAGAAGGGTGGAGATGGTGGTAAGGGTGACGAAAGAGAATAAGAGAATGAATTTGGAGATTTGCAAAAAAGACAAAAAAGCTAAGGGCATTTTTATCATGATAATAGCACAACTATTTGCTTTGGACTCTCTTACACAGGTTGTTTTTTATTTTTTATTTTAGCACCTAGCATAATCTTAACAAAAATGTTAGAGATTTCAAAAATTTTATCAAATGTCTTACATAAATGTTAGATTCACATGGTGTGAGTTCCACACTTACGTAAACACATGTAAAAATTTTGATATAACTTTTGTGATTTGTAGCATTACTCTAATCTTAATCATACCCTTTTCTTTATATCCCCATTCCTATAACCCATTTTTCCAGTAACCTCTCACTTTTGTACTGATGACCCATTTCCCTTGTCTCTACTCCAACTCTTTTATAGGCCTTATCCGTCCTCGCCGACAACCTTATCATTTCCTTACCTCAAATGCCACTTCCATATATCTCAACCCACCTTTGTACCTGTGATAATCCTTGCTTCCGTAATATTCTATCACGTTTTTTCAATAAGCTTAATTACATGGTTATGTGTGTTTAATTGTGTAATTACATGCTTAATTTCGTGATTATTTATTGTTACATAGAATATCTGTTTACTTAACGACTTAGAAACAGGAATTGGAAGCCCAAACGGCTCCAGAAACCAAAATTGGCTGACCCAATAGACTAATTAGAATATTTAGAATTTTACGGCAACTTTAATTGAAATTTGATTCGGATCAAAATAATTAGAATTAATCAAAACTATGTGAGATTAATTAGTTCTAAGCTAACTTAATTAGCCTAAGCTAATCACACCCTATATAAAAGCCTAACTCATGTCTTGAACTCATAACATACAACACTTGGGCTTAAATTGTTGAGAGAGAGAGAGAGAGAACTTAACCCGAGAGGGAGAGAACTCAACTCTAGAGGGAGAAGGAGAAGAGAATTGTAGAGAACTTGAAGGATCAAGCTTAGATACTCTTGAATTTGCACTCTGGGTATGAAATTCTCCCTTATCTATGTAGATGAAACATGTAGAAGTTTAATTCATCTAGTTTTTGAGTTTATTTGCATGAAATTGTGCAATAGAGGGATAAATTACCTTAAATTGGAAGAATTAAGTTGAATTATGTACATGCATGCATGATCCTTCATTTTTGAGTTAAGATTTCTTGAATTTCATACGTGCATGAGGTCTAAAAGGTATAAACTTTAAGATTTTTCATGATTTTATACATTTCATGCCATCTTGTTGTCTTTTGAAAAGAAGGGCATTCAAGTTAAGACATGCATGGTTATAACTTTAAATTTGAGTTCAAATTTGAGAAATGAACCATGATTTTGGACCATTGGTTTCAAATTAGCTATGTTTTCATGTTCTATAATGTTTTTTTTCAAGTTTTTGTACCAACATGCAATGTTTGAACCATTAAATTGCAAGTTTGAGCTTCAAACACAATTTTGGAAATTTTAGAATTCAACTAGTCCGCTCAAGCGAAGAAAGTGTCGCTCGAGCATAAAAATCAAACTCCCAGAAGTTTTACAGAGAATTGTACGATGGCTCAAGCGGCAAAACTTGCGCTCGAGTGAACCCTGTTTTGCATTACTCATGGCTTGAGTGACAGAAAGTTGGCTTGAGTCTAAAAATCGAGCAACCATTACGTTTACAAAGTTTTGCAGACCGCTCGAGTGAAGGAAGTAGCGCTCGAGCGAAGACCTTGTTTTCAACAAATTTTGACTGACTCTTACAAGTACATACTTGCGTCCTCATATCATTTCAAGTACTCTTAGGCCCCAATTGGACTCATATAAACATGAAATGAGTTAGAAACACATATGAAGAGTTGAATTAAAGTGAAATGGTTATTGAATGATGCTTCAATTGTGTATTTGTTATATGTTTTGTTTAGGTGGACGTCCGAGGCCTAGCATCGATAGAACCCACTGTGAGTAGTAACTTTATAAAGATATGTTCAAATGATATTTACTTTCGAAACTGTTGTTGTACTTGAAATCAATACATGAATGATTGAATAGTTTATTGAAACAATATAATGATTGGTGGAATGGTTTGTTGAA